GTGACTCAGGGCAAGTGTCTGACCTCTCTGGGCTCACCGATGGTGAAGGAGACAGCTTGTGTGTCTCGGAGGAGGGGGCAGTGTCTCAGGGACCCAAGCTGCCCACAGAGCCCCACCCTCGCCTCTCCCAGCCCCACTGCTATTCTGGTCCAATTCCAGCAAGGAGTTACTGTCCTCATCTCCCTTTTCTCATGTTTACCGCAGGGAAAATGACACTTGCTTGGCAGGGCACCCAGAGATGGCAGCTCTGCCTTTCACCAGGCAGAGTGGGGGTCACCTCTTAGGGGAAGGGACGACGCAAACATTGCCTAGTTGGGGGTCAAGGCTGGAGGGAGTCTACCTGTATACTCCTGGCTGGGGCCCACCAGGCGACAGCTGATGCCACCCCCCAGCAGCCCCTTCCAGCTGACCTTGCCTCAGCCCAGGCACACAACTTGGAAGGGGTGACTTTGAGCTGAGGGGCACAGTTTACCCTCACATTGCAGTAGGAGAAACTGAGGCTCAGAAGGCCCAGATCTGCTGGATTTAGGGCTTGGCTGCTAAGTGCTTCCTGAACAATGGGAGCAGGCATGGGGGCTGCTTCTGGATTCAGGGTGCCGAGCAGTCACATAAGTGCGCTGCTGTGCAGGAGCAGGGGTTGAGCAAATTATCACTGGGGAAGAGCCCGTGCTGCCTACTCAGGGCCACCACACTGGTCCCCCAACCCCTTCCAAGTTTGCCCTGTGCTCCTCCAGGAGGCCCCTGGGACCCCCCAACCTTGGTGGCCCATCTTGAATAGGTGCTATTGAGACAACACTCTCCAACCTGACCTCATCCAGTAGGGGCACAAACGAGGAGGCTGAGGCACCCCAGGGTGGGGGATCCAGGCTGCTTGCTACAGCATGAGGCACTGACCACTGGGCTTCCCCATCTGCAGTGTGAGTTTGGCCCTGTGCAGGGAAAGCATGGGTTAAAGACATCCTTGTTTGACCTAGGCTCAGACAGCCAAAAGAGCCTGTCTAGGGCACTGGGAACATGAGAGAGGGAACATCCTCAACACTCGGCCTGTCCTGCCCTCTCTGAGCCTGTGGCCATTTCATCTAAGCCCGCCACCTGGCAGGTGGGGAGAGAAACCCAGAGGGAAGGGGTGCTTCGAGGGTGGCAAGCCCAAGGCCTCGATCATCTTGATGCAGTGCCACTGATCTCCCAGGCATGTTGGGAAACGGCTTCTCAGGTGTCTTCCCGGACTGTCTAGCTTTGGGGCCACAACTGCTGTCCCCTCCTCCAGTCCAGCAGCGCCACCTGGTGGCCTGAGGGGCAGACACCTCCTACCAAGGGACACTCCCTGCCGAGTTCTGTGGCTCCCCAAGGTCACTTGCAGCTGGTTGTGGCAAAATCAGGTGAGAGTCCAGGAATCCTGCACCCAGGCTGGAGCCCAGAAGGTTCCCCTCTGCTCTTCCACTCCTTCCCCTGTCTGGGCTGGTTCTGGGGAAGGTTGGAGAAGTGGGGCTTACCCTAAGGAATGGGTGCCAATGATCACAGTGCACGTGTTTGTGTGTAAGCGTGTGTGTCCTGTTGGGAGAGAGACCCTCAAATTATACTGCATGCAGGCTAGGTGGAGGGACTGGCAAATGAGCGAATGAGCAAATGAATGAAGTGTGATTCTTTCCTGGGGACAGTCCTGTGCCTTGAAGTATCTTAGATTAATCACTGACTGGTGAGTGCTGAACACCACAGGAAGTTACACACACACACACACACACACACACACACACACACACGCTCACAGACTCACATACAGATCTGTACCTATACACATATATGCACATGTGCACAGACTCATAGACACCCTGCATGCCTACACACATTCATCCACACCCCTACCCTCATACTTAGTTCTCACACCATGAAGTAGAGTGAACCAATCTTCCCCCTAGGCAAAGGAGAGAATCAAGGCTCATGGAAGACACCTAACTTACTTGGGGCTGGAGAGGCTGCTGTGACTGAGGTTGGAAGGGTGGGGGACCCTGTCACACCCTGTCCCCAGCCTAGGCTCTGTTCCAGTTGTGTGTCCTGGTAGAACTATGGTGATCTCTCTGTGACCGCCTGAGTTAAGATGCTGGAGCTGCCCTCAGACACCTCTGGGTTAGTTCCAGAAAGGACAGGTAAGGCAGGGGAACTAAGGCCCACAGCTGACCACAGAGAGGGGACAATGAGGTGAATGAAGTACAGGAGACTCTCCTAGGCCCCAGGTCCCAAGGTCACTGTACAGCCTGGATGCCTTGTTGTGCAGGGCTCACATGCTCCTGTCCCAAGCTATCCCTGGATAGGAAGGTCTCCTGGGAACTGGGTCCCATGCTCCCCAACCTCTGGCTCCTCTGCCAAGCTGAGCAGAAGAATCTTTTGTAAACTTTAAAATGCACAGTCTTTCCCAGTGACTCTGGGCACTGCCATTTGGAACAGGGTAGTCAAGTCTCAGGATGGTGCAAACCTTGGCATTCCTAGCCCCTCAGAGTCCGCCCCTGGGCACAACAGGCTCTGATGGTCAGTGTGTCATACCTGGCCACTGGTGAGGCCTATGGACCTGTATAAAATACTGAAGTCTTCCCCTGGCCAGGCAGTACCGCAATGTCATCAGAATGCAAACCCACTGTTGTGCATATGTGTGCCACAAATGCAGATTGGCCCTAGGGTCTGGTCATGGCCCCCATGGTAGTCCTTGTTGGGCGGCTGGATAGCAGGCCATATACCTGGGAATCTGGTGACATCTTGGCATGTTGGGAAAGTGTTGACACCATCTTTGGGCCCAAAGTTCAATACAGGGAAGGTAAGGGTGTCCTTGCCTACTTCCCCAGAGGGAGCCCCAGGAAGCTGAGGGGCTCAGGGAAGTGGGGTGCAGAGTCTTGGGTGGTTTAGAAAGAGCACTTTTCCCATGCAAGTCCTTGTGCAGGATGTGATGACACAGGTGTGGTGGGTCACAGAGGGAACAAGAGGCCCAATGAGCTGGAGGGGTGCACCTCATCCCAGGGCTCTTGTGTTTCAAGTGGGGAAACTGAGGCCAAGAAAGAGGCAGGGGCATGGTTGAAGTCTGTGTTCAGGGCTCATGAAGTCCCAGGGCACCTGGAGTCTGGGTGTGTGGCTCCCAGCTGCAGCCAGCAAAGCCCCGGGCTGGAGGCCTAGGGTTAGCAGTTCCTCCTGTGGCCCTGCCAGCCCATCTGAGGGGCACTCATTGTCCTTGAGGAGATCATGTCTGGGAGGAGCCTTGGGGTGGGCAGAGTGGCTGGGGGAGGGGTTCTTGGTGCTTCCTCCTCCCGGAAGCACTCTGATGACCCCACTCAGCACTTGGTGTCACCCAGCTCTGCCCCCAAGTGACTGAGCACCTATAACTGAGCTCTGGGGAGGAGGGAGGGCCAGAAGGATTTGGGGGCAAGAAAGGGGGTCACTTATGTGGAGACCCCAAGGGTTGGGGGTAGGGTGGGGCGCAGTCTGCAGGGCCCTGGGCCATGTGGCCTGTGTGGTCCTGGGGTGCAGTGTGGACGAGTGACCTCATGGCAGGCAGCCCCAGGGGAGCAGTGCAGAGGACAGTGGGCATAGACTGGTGGACGGTGGGCTAGGCCTGGTCATGAATGAGATGCAGGTTAACCGGGGTGCTGGGCTGTAGCCCAGGAGGGTCAGCATCCCTGTTGGGGCCAAAGGGCCCTGTGGAAATGGGATGCATGTCGGGGGCGGGGGCTGGGGCAGGTGGGAGCGCTGGGCAGGAGCCACCTCCCTCCTGCCGTTCCCCAGCCCCTTCCTTTCCTCACTTTCTTCCCCTCCCACCCCCCCACCCCCCGCCTCTGGCTCCTACCTCTGGGCCCGCCCCCCCCAGGTCAGATGGCCCTGGCCGGCATTCAGCTTGACTGGCCAGCTTTCTGAGGCTCCTACTGGGGAGACAGGGATTTGGGATGGCTTTGACCTTGGAGCCAGGGGGGTATAGGTGGGGAACTCAGCTCCTCCTGTAGGTAACAGTGGGGGCCTGCGATTGGTTCCATCAGGATTCCCAGGTGAACCGGGCACATAGACCAGAGGGTGGGGAGGTGTGAGCAGGACATCTGATGGTGTCTTCATTTCATCCATGGGGTCCCCTGTGTCCCATATGGACTCACCCCTGCCTCCTGGCCCCCACTCAGGGGATGAGTGGGGGTGCAGGGAACCCCAGCATTCATAGCCCCCAAGAGGTAAGATTGGGGTGCAGGGAGCCCCAGGAGGCACAGCTCTGGTAGGACTGAGAGTCGGGTGCAGGGAGCCCTGACATGCACAGCCGCCTCCCAGGAGGTGCCCTTGAGCACAGGGAAAGCCAAGCCAAAGTCTGGAAATTGCCACAGCCAGGCCCAGGCACCCAGTTCAGACAGGCCTCTGCCCCGCCTTGGTGTCCAGGCCTCCAGGAAGCCAGGGTGGGTGCCCGAGGTGACATTTCCTGCTATTAATGGCGCTTAATCTAAACAAGCCCTAATATTTACCTCCAGACGCCTCCGGCCTCGGTGGTGCCAGACAGGGAGAGTGATGAGTGCGCTCAGCTACCCCACCCAGTACTTCCCCAGCTGAGGCCAGAGCTGGCTGTACGTGGGACTAAGCAGGACACTGGGAGGCTGAGTGGAGCCCTCCAGGGCCAAGCCTGAGTCCTGTCTCTTGGTCTGTGAAGTGGTGATGACCCTGCTGACTCATAGGCACTTAGGAGGCCCACAGGGGAGCTGTTCCTCCTTCTGCCTCCAGACCAGACCTCTCAGTGATCTGGTAGGTCAGCGTGGGGACTGGGTGCCTGCTCCACCTCTGAGTCCCTTCCCTCGGGTGGCCAACTTGGGACCAGGATGGGGGGAGTTCTGCTGATTTTTGCCCCTGGACATTGGGTGGACAGGGAAGGGAGGGTGGCTGGCACCCAGGCCCCCCAGCTCGGCGCCCCACACCGACCCCTGCCCAACAGCCTGGGAGCCAAGTTGAGGGCGCAGGGGATAAACGGCGTTAATTCAGATGAGCATTTCTCCTTATGGGGATTGTTTACATCAGATATAAATACACCATTTCACGTCACTCTGGCTCTCTGAAAATCCGGGAAGGGAGGACACAGCAGGGGACACACAGACCTCCCTGCCTGTCTTGAGCGATCAAGGACAGGCTTGGCTGGACCTGCCGGAATCTGGAGAAGCACAGGGAGTGGGGAAACTGAGGCCCACCTATCAAGTTTCTGCACAACAGGCCATCAGACTGAGCAGTCAGAGGTGCAGGAATGGCTCCCAGGTCTTGACCTTTGGCTCCAGAAGACAGGTGACCTGTCCTCTGAGCTGGAGCAGTGGCTGCTCCACCCTCCTCCAAGCTCTTGTAGTCTGAGAGCCCTCAAGCCCCAAGGAACCCAGGTTGAATGGATGCATTTCAGATTTGGGGACATGAGGAGGACTTAGCTCACATACCTCAGAGACTTCCTCCTCCTAGAAGAGACTGTTCCAGAAAAATTGCACCCCCCTTCAACTCTAAGCAGAGCAGTCAGCTAATGTCGGCTTTTCACTCATTAGTGTGAATAAGAGTGATAACCAGGTAGAGAATCAGAATGGGGAAGCTGTGGTGGGGATGGAAAAGGGAAGGATGGCACAGGGCCACTGGGACCCAAAGCATTGGCATAAGAGGGGGCACGTGCTATAAAAGAAGGGGGGGCCACAAACCCACACGTGAACTTAAATGGGCTAGTGTGGTCCCCTCCCCAGCCCCCGAGAGTCAAGCCTTGCCCACCTTTGCCCAGGCTGTTCCCTGACCTGAGCATTCCTTCCCACCACCCTCTGGCTCCCCACAGCCTTGCCCAGTGAGGTGGTCCTCACAGCACAGTGGGGGAATCAAGGCTGGGGGCTCGAGCTCCAGGTCACATGGCTTGGGTGGGCACCAAGGAGCCCATGGGCAGTGTCTGGGACCATGAGGGATCCCTGGGATGGAGCATGAAAATAAATGGGGTCCAGGGTCCCTGACCCTGAATGACTGAGTGTGGGTTGGCTCCAGGAGAAGTATCAGCCATCCAGGGGCCTCCGGGCCATGTGACCATGCAGAAGCCCACCACTTGGCCTCTTCCTTCTTACTCCTCTGGTTGGGAGGGTGACTGCCAGGGGTGGCTCAAAGTCTTCCTGTCAGAGGCCAAGAGCCACGATCTGGGGATTCTCCAGCCAGCAGCATTTTTCTGCACAGATGGCCTGGCCCAGCTACTTCTTGTCCTGAGAGCCAGGATCTCCCTGTCTTGTGGAGCTCTGGGTCTGTGTGAGATGCCCTAGAGCTGGTGGCTGGGGACTGCATCCAGCAAGGGTCAGGGGTGATGCTGCTGCTGCTGCTGATGATGATGGTGATCATGAGGACGATGACCATGCCTGTTGCTTCTCTTGCATCTGGGCCAGGAAGTCACACCGGGGAGAGTCCTGGTTCCTCTGTGCCCTGGCTGACATCTCAGCTGGGAGGCCTTGGACTCACATCCCTCCCACCCAGTCACCTCACAAAGTCCTGGAGCCAGAGAGCCCCAGTCAGGATCAGCGGGGACAATACTGCCTTGGATGGTCAGGCACTCTGTCTATGACCTTGGCAAAGCCTGTCCCCTCTGAACCTCAGTATCTTTATCTGGAAAAAGGGAATATAAATGTCTTCCTGCCTCCCACCTTATCCTTCTCTGGGGCTCGAATTTGGAGATAGGACCTTTGCTGGGGGGCAAGCCTGGTCTTTGCCTCCCTTCCCACACGTCCTGCTCCCAGCCACCTGAGCACGGAGGACTTTTCTCAGGAGACCAGGGCCCCATCTAGGGCCCTGATTCCATCTCACCTGCTTCAGTGGCTGAGGCCAAGTTCAAGGGCAGAGATGTCCAGAACGCCTCTTGTCCACCCTACCTTCTACCAGTCTGGAGAGGCCCCTGGAGCTCAGATCCTCCACGAAAAGCACTCAGGAAAATCCTGGAATCCAGGCCAGAAGAGGCGGTCAAAGATCCACACCAGAAAACTGTCTTCTCATTGAAGGTACTGGGAGACATGCTGACCCAGGTCAGAGCGGCTGGGCCAGTCCTTTGTATCCCTGGAGAGAACAGCAAAGGGGACACGGTGGCCTCCAATTGGCAGGTCAAATTTGAGCGGCTGTGCATCTTTGTTTTCATTTTCTTATCCACAGGATGGGGCGTGAACCCTGCTGTCCTCCTGGGGGCAGCAGGCAGGGTGTTCTGAGGCCTTTCCTGGGATGGGGGCTTTGGGAAGCTCTGAGAATATCCATGAAGGAGGACTAGCCCCATCAGAGGCAGTGGGGCTGGATTGGGATTTTGACTGCCACTGCCCTGCAGTGGCACCTGTGCATGTCACTGGCCCCTCCCCAGCACCAACCAATGGACGAGAATCTTCTCTCCTTTGATGGGAGGCTGTGGATCCAGTGTCAGTTCAGAAAGCCAAGGCTGTGCTCATGCCCCAGCCCCTGTGAGCATCTTGCTGGGTAGCTGTGTAATGCCTGCGGCTGGGCGCACCTCAAAGAGTTGAGTCCCTCCCCATGTTGGATGCAGGACTGTGTTCCTGACAATTTTTTCTGTCCTTGTTCTCCACTTGTGCGAATATATAGGTAGTTCTCTGCAGGTTCTGTTTTCAACCCTCCTGGGAACTCCAGTACCCAAATCATCTTCGTTCCTTTTTCTGAGCTCTTATTTCTGGAGACAAGATGGCACAAGGAGCAGCTCCCAGCTACCCTTTTGAGTTTTCAGTGGACACAATGTTCCTCCAGGGAAGGTAGATAATTGGTATTGAGGCCACCACACCCCATCTTGTGGCTTGCCAGACATTACTAATCTACCACAATACAGTGGTCTTAAAATCTCAGCACAGTGTACTCAGGAGCCATTATCAGTCAATCAGGATGAAACCAATTAGCTGCCCCTGCTCAGGCGCCAGTGTCTGGCTGGCCAACTGCTCACAGGCCTGACCTTTGGCCCCTTGTGGGTGCTGTTGCTTAAGGGTCAGGCCCATTAGCTAGGGCCTGGGCAAGGGCCTGTGGGCCAGTGCTGAGTATGTGGTGGGGGCCTGGGCCCTTGGAGCTCTTGTGCACGCCGACCATGTTGCCGCTGGCCTCACACTGTGCTCTGTGCCTGTGGAAGAGGCCGCGAACAGTGGCCTGGAAGCCACTGGTGACAAAGCAGTAGACAATGGGGTCCATACAGCTGTTGAGGCTGCTGAGGGTCACAGCCACATGGTAGATCACAAGGCTTGTGTGGTGGGGCATGCTGGGCCACAGTGCCACTGTGACTTGGCGGGCATGGAAAGGCGTGAAGCATACGAAGAAGATCACCAGCACGGTGAGCAGCAGCTGCATGGCCCGCATGCGGCGCTGGCGGCCCTGGCGTAGCAGGCCGGGCCGCGACAGAGCACACATGATGCGGCCCGTGAACACACTGATGACCAACAGCGGCAGCAGGAACTCCAGGACAGTCAGCACAAAGACACGGCAGCAGGGCCGCCCACCAGTTGTCACTCCCAGCACAGACAGGGTCACAGCACCTGCTGCCAGCCACACACAAGCACACACAGCCCTGGCGCAGGCTGGCTGGCGCCAGCGGTGGGAACCATCAGGCTGCACAATGGCCAGGTAGCGGTCCACACATATACAGGTGAGGAAGAGGATGGAGCAGTGCATATTGAGGAAGTAGCCAAGGACGTGGGGGAAGGCACAGCGCAGGCAGCCTTGTGCACTGTAGAAGACCACGAAGCGCGTGGGCAGGGACAGGCCCACCAGCAGGTCGGTGACCACTAGATTGATGGTGTAGATGACCGATGGCGTCTTGGCTTGGGTGCGGCAGCAGAAGACATACAGTGCCAGACCATTGAGCACCAGCCCCACCAGAAAGATGACGCTGTGCACGACCATCAGTGCCAGCCATAGTCCTGGGAAGGCGCTGTGTAGCTCCTCGTCCAGCTGGGCAAACAGGTAAAATAGGGCCTTCTCTGGCACACTGGTGTTGGTCCATGCTGCCACCACTGTGGCATTGGGGGCAACCACAGCCCAGGGACCTGGTGGAGACTCAGAGGGCATGGTGGCAGCTATGTGCCTCAGGCCTAGAAACAAGGAGATGTGGTTATCTATGGAGCCAGCACAGCATCCGGCTCTGCTTGAAGCTAGGGCCTTGCCAGGTTCATCTGTCTGCTGGGCCCCTCAGCAACCCCACTCCAAAGCCTTTGCCTCACCCAGCCTGATCCCACTCTCTCCATGCCCCCGGACCTGGGACTTACAGGGTGCAGCTTTGGCAAATGTTAAAGTTCCTGAGACTATCCTTGCTGGACAGGTGAACACACTGGTTGCTCAAGACAGAACACAAATACAAGATGACAGGGCTCAAGCATGTGGATTCAGAGCTTCGCTCCAATTCTGCCTCTTTCACTTAATCACTGTGTATCCTTGGGTAAGTCACTTAACTGCTCTGCACCTTTTTTCCTAATCTATATCACCAGAATCCCCTTGCTGCTCTGAGGATTAACTGAGCCAGCCTGGATCAAGGGCGAGGCAGCACACCTGGCATGTATGTAGGTGGTGGCTGATAATCCAGTTCTGCTAGGAAGAGCTGGCCCATGGAGACCTCCAAGCTGTCTGTCCCATATCTGCCCCACCCCTACTGTCATGGCCCTATCCTCCAGCCACGTGTCTGCTCTCACCTACTCCCAGGTCAGCTCAGGTCCACACCTTGGACCTTCGCAGGAGGGGTTAGTATGCTCAGCAGGGCTGGTTAAGGGCTGAAAGCCAGTCCCCAGTCCCCAGGTCCCCACTAGCTATGGCAGACTATCTTCCCAGCCCTGAGTAGCTTGCTGGGGCTGGAGCCTGGATCTAGGTTGAAGCGGCAGGCAGCTGGTGTGAGTCAAATAAACAGTGTGCTCTTAGCGGGGGTGGTGGGGACCAGGGCGGGCAGAGGGCTGGGCCTGAGTTGCCCACTCTGTTTATGTTTCTGCTGAGGAGTGTTTAACTCAGCTCTGATTTATCCCTTTATTTATAAATGAAGGGTTAATGGGGACCCTACCCCCCACCACAAGCTGGCCTGACCCTCCAAATAAGGACATTTCTGGCCCTTTCAGGAGAAAGGAAAAACCTCTGGGGGGAGGCAGGGAGAGGGAGTGGGCATGTGGGACATTCCGGGTGTACAGTGCCCCCACCCTCCTGCAGGAGAAAAGAAGACCCTCCGCACTGTCTCACTTCCTGTGTCCCTCCTAGTGGCTGTTGCTGTAAACAGGTTGGACACTGCCCACTCCCGGGAACTGGCTGCAGGACCTTGGGCAGCAGGTCTGCCATTCCATCCTGGGAGAACATGATGTTGTGTCCTACCTCCCAGGAAACTGGGGACCAATGCCCAGCCTAGCAGCAGGTGGGTACAGTAAAGGAATGCTTACTTTGGGAGGGTCTGGTCTGGCAGGACAGATGGCCATCTCTGCCCTCAGGCTCAGAGAGATCAGCACCTACCTGAGGTCACCAGCATGCCCTCTGGCTCTGTAACCTCTGCCCTGGACATCTGCCACCCTGGGCTGCTGGGAGGAATCTGGGCTGTCCAGGCCTGTGTCCTGCCCCACTACTGTCCCCACACATGTGGTGGTCTCCAAAGGACTGGAAGTTTGGGGGAGGGAAAGATGTATTGCAGAGGTGGGTGTGACAGGCATGGAGCCTGGGAGCTTGGCAGCTCAGGGCTGTGGACTTGACCTCCTGCAGGAGGGAGGCCTAAGGGTCCCAGGAAGGAAAGGGGGCCATGCAGCGTGTCTGCCTCTAGCATTGATGGAGTGCTGGAAGAAAAAACCCAACAACCAAGGAACACCATGGCAAATGGGCCTTTTGGGTACCCTTCTGCATGCTTTTTGGCTTTCTAATTTGTCTGCACTGGGCTTGAATTAGTGTCACAATCAGAGACAAATAAACATCACTGAATGTTTCCTCTGGGAGCCAGTCCCAGGATGACGCTGGCCTCAGGATCCTGCCCTCCCAGGAAATTCCCCAGGGCCAGCCTCGCCTGCCGCCTAATAGTGCCACTGAGAGGCCGGGGACACCAGCCAGGGCCAAAGGGACTCCGGGGCCTCCAGAGTCAGAGGATAGATCAACATTCAGATACCCCGGAGGCCAGACAGGTAGAGAGAGAGGAGAGGGCAAAGCACATGTGTGGATTCACAGCTCAGAGTAGGAACCCAGATCTCAAACAAAGCTAAGCCCTGATCTTGGTGACATGGAGCCATAATCCCAGTAATCTGATGAACCTTGATCCATGTCACACTCTGAGCCCTGACCTGGTCATGCACTGAGCCCTGACCTCAGTCACACACAATATCCTGCTCCTGGTTACACATGGGCTCAGGGTGTGGACTCCTTGTCAGGCTGGGTTCATGGGCTTTACCAGCTCAGGCCTTCTCTGCCTGCCTCCACTTGGACACCTTCCTGGAGTGGGCACGGGGATAGAATGAGGGCTCAGTCAGAGGGGAGGCCCAGAGGTGGGGAATGGGAGCACAGCAATCAGGAGTCCAGCACCCAGTCCGAGTTGTAGCTCAGTGACAGAACTGGTGTGTGCAAAGACCCTGGCTTCCATTCCCAGTACTGCAAAACAACAACAGACCCCAGTTCTGCCCTGGACTGCCCTATCCAATCCTGTCCGAGCCTCAATTTCTTCATCTGTAAAGTGGACGAAGTAGACTGTGTCAAGGGATTTACTGGTGCATGGTCAAGCACGTAGTAAGTGCTTAGAAACGGGTCACCATGCAATGAGATGGCTCCAGGCCGGGCAGACAGAGGCTGAGGGATGAGCTCTGCACCACTTCAGGAGAGGCCTGGAGGAGCACAGTGGGACGGCAGCTTCCAGCCAGAGGTAGCTTTGACAGCCCCTTCCTAGGGCCCTGGAGCCACCCATGGGTGACTGGCCTTGGTCTGATCCTCCCAGAGCCTCAGCCCCTCATCTTGGCCGAGAACACTGGATCCTGCTGCCCCACAGGGCTGCTGGGCCTCAGTGAAGATGCAGGCCTGGGGAGGTGTGGCTGGGTAGGCTGCTGGGGAAATCAGAGCCCCACAAAGCACAGGCCTTTTGATCTTCTGGGTCCCTTTTAGGAGACTGGGAGGATGAAGGGTGGTGCCCCCAAACCTTCCCCAGGGCCCTACAGCAGCCTTTAGGGTGGAGCACTGGGGTAGGGCTCCTGGGGCACTGTGTATTCCCACTTCCTTGCCTCTGCCCGGGCTACTCCTTCCCTTATTCCTGGTATGGCCCCTGGCCTTTTTACTACCACCCCTACTCACCCCCAGGAGGCCTTCCCCTTCCTACCTGGGTAGCTGACTGCCTCTCCCTGCTACCCTTCCCAGAATGCCCTTCGCTTCCCCCACCCCAGGGCAGTCCCCCACTGCTGGGCACTGCCTCTCTCTGCAGAGTGTAGTTGTCCTTGATGGCACACAACTATAATCCCAAGCACTCAGGAGGCTGAGGTGAGAGAATCACGATGAGTTTGAGGACAGCTTGGGCTTATAGTTAACTCAAGGCCAACCTGATCTGCATAGTGAGACCTCGTCTCAAAAAAAAAAAAATTATGAAGAGTGTGAGCATCTGGGCTGTGGAGTGGGGTGGGTAGAGCTCTTGTCTGTTCCTTCCTTTCTTCTGCCCAGTCATTTGCCCATGTGCCCCAGGACCACCCAGCAACCTGAGAGGAACCCACTAAAACAGGCAGGGTGCAGCCCAGTTTCTCACCCTGCCAACAGTGTGAGTAACTGAGCCCTAGTCCTCTTCTTGGTCCATCCAGTTTCCCACCAAGGGTGGAGGCAGGGGGCTGGAATTGGCATCTGCCCCCTAGCTGCACCCTTATTAACCACCACGATCGCATTTGCCTCCTGCCCAGTCCCTTGGTGGCAGTGGTCTTTGGTTTAAGCGGCTCTGCCGTCTACTTGCCACCTGGACAAGTCATTCCACCTGGAAGAGCCTCAGTTCTGTCCTTGGTTACTGAATGAATGAAACCCAGCTGAATGACTGGAGGTGTGGAGGAGTCAGTGAGAAAGGCCCCAGGAGGTGCCTATTATAGTGAGGCTCTAGGGACTGCAGGTGCAGTTCCTACCTGCTAAAGCCTGCCCACAGTGGGGAGGCTGCGCAGTCCCCCAGCTCAGTGAGGGATTTTGTGAGGACCCTGAACCTAGGGGTCTTCTCCCCAGTCATTTGTCCCATGCTTCTTTCCTGGAGCCCTGCCCTGTCCAGCCTGATGGCCACATGACAGCCCCCACCCAGGGCATGGATACAGCTGCCCCACTGCCCTTCTCAGTGCACTGGTCTCTGCTGTGTGCCAGCATGGAAGGCCAAGGCTCCTGCCCTAGGTCCCTGATCTGGACCTGCGGACCATGCCAGACACCTCCTCGGCAGGAGGGGAGGACACCAGCTCCTCTGAAATCCATCCAGTGACTCTGTGAGGTCTCCTAGCTGCCCTGCAGACCAGCAGATGCCAGATGTCGGTCACTTCTGCCCTACTGAACATGGAAGCAGGTAGCAGAGGGCCTGGCCTTGGCCCCTGGGGGCCCAGGATCTCGAATGTTGCCTGTAGCTTGGGTGCCCAGAATGGAGGGTGGGCATGGAAAACTGCCCAGCCTTTCCCTGCCAAGGGCTCCAAGCACCCACCAAGGGCCCTGACCTGTGGGTCACTCTGCATGCACATGACAATTGAGAATCTAGAAACCCAGAGATCTGAGAGATGTGCCCAAGGTCCCTTAGTACAGAACTGGTAGACCTAGGACTCAAACCCAGGTTGGGTGGGATCAGGTGGGGTAGAAGGAAACCAGGAGATGGGCAGAGTTGCAGCATCTCTAGAGCAGGTGTCTGCACCCAGGGATTCTCAGGGGCCTGTTCCCTCAGCCCAGGTCACATGATGCAGGCTCCTGGACCCACATTCACTTCCCTCCAGGAGCCCATCTAGTCTCCTGGAAGGCTGAGCCCTTCTCCTGGGGAGGAACCCCACAACTGTGGGCCCCTGCTGAGATGATCCTTCTGGGGTCCATAATGCTTCCAAGGTGCCCCCAAGAGAGTGTTGCTGGCCCTCTCTGGCAGTGAGGGAATT